AAAAAATGAAGGAATAATATTAAAGAATAAAAGAAGAAGAATTTTGGACATACTTATTTCTACTACAAAATGAAGTATATTTATAATAGCAAAAGGAAAAACAATACAACAAAAGGAAAAATTAGATAGCCAGATTATTAAAGTACATGATCCCTAAAATCAGTTTATTCGTAGTACTTAGATTCAGGATAAAAATGTATATGATGCTAATATAGTAGAAGGAAGCTTTAAATAAATGAATCATTATAGCCTTCTTCAATTCTTATCTCTAAGTTCCCACTACAAAAGGAAGAAATCTAGCCCCCACTATCTGCCATATATATAGGTAATTGTTCAATTTTGGTTTACTTTTATATGGGTTTTAGAATTGTTAACCAGTACCACCGTGAGAATCACCTTTATCAATTAGAGCCCAGTGGTTATATACAATTCTTTTGCCTTTAATCTTACAGCCTCTGCTCATTTCCAAAGTTACTCTGTTCAGCACCTTTTCCTCCCCTAACTTTTGTGAGTTTTGCTTCATACATCTATAACAGCTGGATTCTCTTATCACATTCTGCATTCCATCCTGGGATCTACTGACCTCTTAATGATTTTTTAGTTTTGCTTGCACTAAAATTTGCACTCTATCTTGTAAAATTCTATGGGTTTTGACAAATGCATTGTGACAATACCATCATTAAAGTATCATATAGAATGCTTCACCTATTCAACACCCTACCTTGTACTCCTGGAAACCACTAATTTGCTTAATATCTGTATGTTTTTGGCTTTTCCCAAATGCCTTATAAATGAGATCGTACAGTTTGTGGACTTTTTGTATGGGCTTCTTTCACTTAACAGTATGCATTTAAGATGTGTCCATTTCATAGTACCCATTGTATGGAAGTATCACAGTGTGGTTATCCATTTATCAATGGAAGGTCATCTTGTTTTCTTCCAGTTTTTGATGATTATGCATAAAGCTACTACAAATATTGAGGAAATTTTTAGGCTTTTCTGTGGACATAATTAGTCAAACCAGTTAAGTAAATACTTACAAGTGTGAATGTTGAATTTTACAGTAAGACTATGTTTAGCTTTCTGAGAAGCTGCCAAAGTAAGGTGTCTTCCAACGTGGCTGTAACATTTTGCGTTCCCACAATCAACAAATGAGAATTTCTATTGCTCTGAATTCTCGTCACCATTTAGTATTGCCAGTTTTTTGGATTTGAACCATTCTAGTAGCAGCATTTCGTTGTTTTAATTTCTGTTTACTTAATCACAAACAATGTGAATCTTTTTTAATGCTTATTTCCTATTTGTATATCTTCTTTAGTTAGGTGTCTGTTTAGATCTTTACCCATTTGTAATTGGGGTGCTTGTCTTTTTATTGCAGAGTTTTATGTGTGTTTTGCATATTTGGGTACAAGACCTTCTACATATATGTGTTTTTAATATATATTCTGAGTCTGTGGTTTGTCTTTCCATTCCCTTAGCAGCATATTTCAAAGTAGAAATTCTTAATTTTAATAATGTCCAAATTGTCAATTGTTTTTCTTTCATGGATAATACTTTTGGCATTCTGTATAAAAACTCACCACCAAACTAAAGATCATGTAGATTTTCTTCTACAGTTACTTCTAGAATTTTTTTATAATTTTAAATTTTTGTGTAAATTATGAAGTTTGTATCTAGGTTC